TGGAGTCGCAGCCGATGCTTGTGATGAGTACGTCAAGATAGGAGAATCCACTGCTATCGAGTGTACTCGTAAGTTTTGCGAAGGGGTAATAGCATTGTTTCAAGATGAATACTTACGACGACCAAATGTGGAAGACTTGGAGAGGTTGCTCCAAGTTGGACAGGAACGTGGATTCCCAGGGATGATTGGAAGTATTGATTGCATGCACTGGCAGTGGAAAAATTGTCCTAAGGCTTGGCAAGGGCAGTTTACTAGTGGACACAAGGGGACGGCAACAGTTATCCTCGAGGCAGTTGCGTCATATGATTTGTGGATATGGCATGCTTTTTCAGGGCTTCCTGGTAGTTTGAATGACATAAATGTACTAGATAGGTCACCGGTTTTTGACGACATTGAGTCGGGTGAAGCTCCACGGGTAAACTTCACCGTGAATGGGCGGGAGTACAATCTTGCATACTATCTTGCCGACGGAATCTACCCTAAGTGGCCTGTCTTCGTGCAGTCAATTCAAATGCCCCAAGGCAACAAACATTAATGTTTTGCCAAACAACAAGAATCATGCAGGAAGGACGTGGAACGCGCATTCGGGGTACTCCAAGCACGCTTCGCTATTGTCCGCCAACCAGCTAGAATGTGGGATCTTGATGTCTTAGGAAAAATAATGAGGGCGTGCATTATTTTACATAACATGATAGTAGAGGATGAACGAGATACGTATTCGCGAAACTGGGAAAATATCGACTTTGAACCGTCGAACAATGCTAGCTCTAGCGCCTCTTTCAATGTTCAAACAGACGTGTTGCCGGAGTTTCAAGTCCATGTTCAACACCGATCTGAGGCAGATAATCAGACTAGAGCGGAACTACGAGATAAGACCCAACATATTCAGCTGAAGAAGGATCTCATCGAGCACATTTGGCAGAAGTTTGGGACAACCTCCGATTAGATTTACCAATTTAGTGTGTGTTTTCTTTAATGTTTTCAATAATTTGGGTGTGTTTGGTTTTCCGTATGCTTAATAAAATCGTGTGTTATTTTATGTTAATTTAAAAATATTATTGAAAATTAAATTAATAATATATATTTAAATATTATATATTATTTATTGAATTATTAATAAATTATAATTATAAATATATGAGTTATAATAATAATAATAATAATAAAATAGTAATATATATGAAATAGGAAAAAGAATGAATAAATATGGTGGGGTATATGTTGAAGTGAAGTGGTTTATGGTGGGTCCCAAATAAAGTAAAAAACTTTCTGAAAAATCTCCTGCTGTAGAGTTGATAGGGAAATGAAGATTATTGAATTAAATAAAGTGATGTGGCAGGAGAGAAGGAGGTGAAATTTCACCTCCTGCTGGAGATGGTCTAAGTCAGAACTGATTTCGAGACAGTTTTATATCGTTTCACAAACACACCCAGTCTCAACTACCGTGCATTTCTCGTGTACGGTGAGCGGACTCCAGTCCGTGCATTGCAATTTGGTTGAGGGCTGGGATTTGGAGTCCAGGGAGCGAAGAAGCTGGGGAATGCAGATGATGATGGAGGAAAGCAGATGGTACACGTTTGCTCTGTTTTATTGTCTGTGGGAATGGGGGACGTGACGTGTCAAGTGGCCAACAGCTACGTTTGCACGCTCCCCCTCCCGTGCTCTCCCATTCCTCGGCTGCAGACAATAATCTCTTTTTTCTCTTTTTCCCCATTTTAATTTTCTTATTTCACTCACATTTACCCCTTGTTGACAGTGAAAACATATTTTCACAGGAGGAAAATAATTTTAAGCAAATCGGAAAAAATCCACTCCTTACTGTGCACAATAAAACCGGACTAAACTTCTAAGACCATCTCCAACCCATTGCACCAAAATGATACAAAAATCACATCAAACAGTAATACATTTTCAACACATTGTACTATTTTTTGCACCAAAAAAGAACATTCTCAGAATATTCTCAGTATATTCCATTTTATCTACTTTTATATTAAGTAAAAAGTAAAAAATAAATATTAAAAAAAATTAAAAGTAATGAACAGTAATAACACGGAAATCCAAAGTGCCGCCGCCTAACACGCGCTGCCGGTTTAGTCTTTTTTCTGCACAAAAAGACACCAGAGTTCGATTCTGGGGTATTCTATCCTGAAACCTAAGCAAGGATAAGTCTGCGCCTGACACGCGCTGCCGGTCAGTTCTTAACCGTTTAAAAAGAACACCCGTTCACATATTCAACATTGTGACAGGTTGTTATTAATAACACCAAAATCCATGCCTTACACGCATGGGGAATTTCATCCTGAATCCTAAGAAAGGATATGCCGACGCCTAACACGCGTCGCCGGTTTAGTCTTTCCCCGTAGAAAAAGACACCAGAGTTCGATTCTGGGGTATTTTATCCCGAAGCCTAAGGAGGGATAAGTCAACGTTTAATACACGTTGCTGGGTAGCCTATTCCCATGACAACGGCGAAGTCTATGTATTCAAAGTCATAGCAACAAGTCTTAGAGGATTCAGTCTCTAAGCACAACGTTACATGCGGAACGGATTTAGACAATTCGCATGCTAGCCCGACTCAAACGGTAGTCGGTAAAGGTTAATCAAATCCGTTAAAGGCTTGGGGTTAGCCAAAAATCCTAAAGTCAGCGCCTAACACGCGTCGCCGGGTAGTCTATTCCCGTGAGAAAGACGAAGTCTACGTATTCGAAGTCGTAGCATCAAGTCTAAGGGAGTTCATTCCTTTAGCACAACGTCACATGCGGAACGGACTTAAGACAATCCGCATGTAAGCCCGATTCAAACGGTAATCGGTAAAAGCATGACAAATCCGTTGAGGGCTGAGGATTTGCCAAAAATCCTAAGTCAACGTCTGATACACGTTGCTGTTTAGTCTTTTCACAGGAGAAAGACGAAGTCTACGTATTCAATATCGTAGCACTAAAAGAGTTAACTCTTTTAGCATAACGTCACATGCGGAACGGACTTAAAACAATCCGCATGCTAGCCCGACTCAAACGGTAGTCGGTAAAGGCGCATCAAACCCGTTGATGGCTGAGGATTTGCCAAAAATCCTATAAATATGCGAGTCATTGACGCATCAACTTTATGAGTTGGTCTCGTGACTCGAGCATCCAACGACCTTGGGATAAGATCCATGCTC